CACTCACTGCACCCACAATTGGCAGGCATGAAATTGGATTAAGAAGTGTCCACATCTCGAGCAGAAGACAGCAAGTCAGAAGCAAAGGGGGAAACGAAGTATACCAAGTCACTGAAGAAGGCCAGGAAGATGTGTGAATAAACACACAGAGCACTAACCCCAAGCATGAATCAGGCCTCCAAAATTATAACATTGGCCTTAAACAGATTGGAAAAATGAATGGTGGAAGCAGGAGGCATTTATTTGCCGTGTAGTTTCTAAGCCGTTAAAGTACCCTTGTCCCATGGTTTCCAACCTCTCCCTGCAATCAGATCTAGCAACTTTCATAGTAAAGTATAGCAGCACTTCTAACTAAACAAATCCAATAACTGGAGACTTGAGACTGGACGCCTCTCTCTAGCCCTTTGAGCATAGCATTTGTGCGCTATGTACACACAAACATGAAGAATTTCTAAAGCAAAACCCATGCATTCAGAGTTCAGGCTCCAGCAACACTTGTGCCCCATGCCCAAATGAGACAGAGGACAAAGATGAGGTTCTGCGTTTTACAGAATAACTGCTCGTCTGAGCAGGGGGAAGTTTCTTGCTGCTCTGACAAAACTGGCTGTTCATAGCAGTCACATAATGGCGATGCATGAAAGGCAGCAGGGACTAGGAAACGGAGTAATACTTCAAACAAAAGGACGCTGGTATACCAACAAGACAGAAACAGGCCTCACTCCCAGATCAGGGTCAGTTTATAGGCAAGCAGTCTATAAGAGAGAAGTCAGGCACAAACCGGGACTTCTATGGGAGCGAGTTCAGTTCTACAGTCGTGATCTGCAGACAAGCAGTGGGAAATAATGAAAGGAAGTACAGTGTTTCTCTAAATTGCCTTGAGAGGTCACTGTTGCAGGAGAATCACAGCAGCAAATACTGGGGCTGGATTTTTAAATGTCTTTGGCAAACATTGGTGGCACTAGTTTCAGGAATTTTAGAGGCCAAAACATACGCAGGACAACACAGAGGTGCACGGGATCACAGCAGGGCTAGTCAAACATTCTCCTTGCTGCAGTCCCAGCACACTGGCCAGAGCAAGACACAGTCCCGCTGTCCTACCAGAACCACTGCTGCAAACCAGGACCCAGCACATACACCAGATAGGGAGCAGGCCACAGGGGCACAAACTGTCACAGCCACCCTCGCCAGGTATGGTTCCCCGAGCCCGCGGGTCAGTAACATGGGTCAGAAGACAGCAAGGTCTGCAGAGAAGGATCAGTGAGCAGTAATTGCTGGAGGGATGCGTGAGAGAGAAAATACAAACACCACACTGGTGTACGGCCAGAAAACAAAATGTCCCAGCACAGACAAGACCACACCAGTCTTCTGCAAAAGCACATAGAATGGAGGGTGACAGCCGTGTCCACGTTAACACTGCTATGCAAGTCACTAGTCATAGCCAGTTTGTTCTAGACGATATGCTTCAGCATTGTGTAAAACATGAGGCCGTGCCTTGGAGTCCAAGGGACCATCTGTGGGAGACCTGTTTGCTTTGTAAAGACCAGTATGACATAGTTTAGGTGGGCACAATCACTGTTCTCTTTTTCCTATTTTTTAAATAACATGCAGTCCCAAGACTATACATCAAGTTCTACAGTTAATTCTTGTGCACATCTAACCCAGCCAAAAAAACACATAAAGCTCTGAAAGGCAAACTCCTAGCAGTTTCTACAGCTCACTAACGCTTACCCACGCTCTTACGCTTCCTAAAGAGCATGAGTCTGCATGGGTGGCTGTTGTGAGCAAACTGACAGAAGGTTCCAGCGCTGTGGGATGGCACTAGCCTCAGCTAAGCAAAATAATGGCAGCTCCAAACCTGCTGGGGAGCCACGAAAGCCTATTCCTGATTTGCAGGCAATTTGTTCCCTCGACAGGTTTATCTCATTACCGGGTTTCCATTTAGCAGGAGCTTTATCGCCTGTAACATTTGTGCATAACAGATTCACCCAATTAAAATGTTATTCCCTTTAACGGCTCAGATAGTCACATTTCAGTGTTTGCTGAAGCATGTTTTCCTTTCCTTGAATAAGTTTAATCCTTCATCAGCCATTCGTTTCAAGTGTTTCACTCGGGAACCAAGTGCAGACAGAAGCCAATATCTTTCTCCAGCATTTGGCAGTCTCTTCTTTTTACCTCCTCCCAGCCCAAGCCACAACAGGATCAGTCAAAACTAAGCATTTGCTGTAGGAAGGAGCTGAGCATCATCACCCCCTTCAGGTAGTTTGAGCCCCCACGGAATCATCCACCAACCCCAGCACCACGGGCATTCTTCAGGCACCGGTCACCACACCACCCACATGCCAAAATCCACCTCAGATGAGCCTTAGCCTTGCCAAGCAGACGACCACAAGCCCTGCATGCTCTGAGGGAGTTGCACTTCTGGTGACTGCGGGCAGCAGTTTACCCACATAATCAATGACTGTTTAATAATTCATAAATCTTATTCCTGACACACTACATACCTGCAGTACGTTTCCCAAAACCAGTAACCCACAGCTGCTGGGACTAGTCTGCCCACTCACCGGACAGCTCTGGTGTGACTAGTGGCAGCTGTGAGACGCAGATTAGCCCTCCACGGACATGTTGGGGCAGAAGCTGGCACCAGCATGCCACTGAGCACCTCAAAGTCCTTGCAGCGCTACCCAACTGGAGACCACAGCTAATGCTGGCAGCCAGCACCTTCCCAGGGAGCCCAGGCATCTCCGGCTAACATGGGTCAAGGCAGCACGCTCATGGTGCATCGCAGCACCCGCTGGAGGATCTAACCCGCGCCGAAGGGGACGGCACACGTGGGGCTCCAGTATAGGCAGGGGGATGCTGCTGTGGGGGGGCAGCCGTGGCCAGCAGAGCCCAGGCGTGAAGGTCTGGTAAAGCAGGTAAGGATGACAGGAGAGGTCATCCCCACAGTGGCCCATCCCAGGGACACCTGCGTAGTTGGGGACACCTACATGGTGACATCCGCCTGGCCCAGGGACACCTGTGCAGCCAGGGACACTGGCCCGGACTGGGGACACCCATCCAGCCAGGGACACCCACCCGGCCTGGGAACGTCCGCGCAGCCGGGGACACCCACCCGGCTGGGGACATCCGCCTTGCCTGGGGACACCCGCGCAGCTGCGAACAGCCGCCCGGCCCGAGGGG